CCCGACACCACACAGCCCACACCCCACACTCACAACCCAATTTATAGTTGAACTACTCTTAGGGAGACAATGTAATCTACTTTTCTGAAGTTTTATTACCGCAAAGTTGGTCGGCAGCGAAGAGCATTCAGGAAACATACTTCATAGTGTGATAAACAGAGCAAGACAAGATATTCCCTTGATCATTACGCATTCCATCATGGCTTTGTAACCACCAAGAATATAAACGTCTTATTGAAACAAATTTTGCTTGGATAGATTAAAATCTGATTTTCTATTATTCTTCGATTCATCAAAAGCCTTCAAGGCAGAGAGATTGCCGAAAAGACTGCACTAATCATTTTTTTTCTAATTTGTCGTAGATGATTTACTGTAAGATTTAGCATCTTACAATGAATGCGTTAAAACCCATTGCTTATCTAAGTATAACAGTGGGAATCGGGTCACTGGCTACGTAAAGTGTTATTAGTTGGTCACTGTCAAATATGGTACCACAGCTATAAACGTGTTCGTGAATGGTTTCGCATGCCAACCTTGCTGTAAAGCAATGTGGACATATTTGTAGATATATCAGTTAGTCTAAAAAAACAGCAACCATAGGCATCCCCACGTGGGTTATGATAGAACTTATAGAACAAATTGGTCTGTTTTCATCAAATATTTGGTTATAAATACTCGTAGGCGTACCATATTCTGAGTAGGGCCATATGACAAAGGCTCTATTAGGTATGTTACCACTTGGCTGGATATCTGTTCCAAGTCGATCACTATTCTGAGGAAATTTTCGGCCTAAGCACTGTAAGCAATGTAGAGTGCCCTTTTTCTCTTGTGGAGTTGTGCTAAGCAATGAAGTGTTGCATTGTGAACAAGTAAAGCAACGTTTGTGCCAGTACTTTTGATTCCATTTCAGTAGCTATGGAGTTTCATAATTGAAGTAGCAAAATTGTTACAAAGACTATACGTGCTTTACTTACATTTCTTTTGTGCATGATTTTATGGCCGCATTTGGTACATGTTTTACAAAATTTCGCAGCATAGCATTTTTTACAGTAGCGATCGCCTCTTGCCTCATAGTACGAACCTCTGGATAAGCCTTTTTCACATTTACTGCACTGTTCTGACATCGCTAGAGATCAGTCAATACTCTCTATATCACAAATAGCACAAATGAATCAGCGAAATGCAAACAATAAACGTCGTTATTTGTTGGAATCTTCCAGTTGATTTGTGTTGTTTGCTGTTGCTAACAACATACAATCGAATTTCATAAAGCAAACACAACTGCGAAATGCTGAGTCATCATCAGTCGAGTAGAAATGGTTGTTGGGTTAAAAAGTGAAAGTTCAAGGATAAATTTTCTTGTGACTGTTGTTTCTGCATTCTTGCGACAAAATTGATAGAGAGTACGGGTGAGAGTGTCAGGATGAAGATCGGTTTATTCTAAAATAATATCGTAGTTCTCTCACAAGAAGTAACGTTTAAACTAGGGTGTGGGTGTGGGAGTAGGCGTCTTTCTCTTAGCATAACTAACACCCACACCCAGCCACATCATGACGTACATTACGTACCTGTGTTGCCACAGTATGAAACAGTGTCGAAACGTGACTGATCTTTTTGTGTAACACAAATTGTGTCGAAACATGTGTCGGAAGTGTGTCTTATGGTCACGGGATTCTATACATTTCCTAACTTTATAATCTATTTTAATTGTGCTTGTATACTACAATGCAGAGCCCTGAAGAGTGTTTGGTTATTTCAATAAATAAATAACATGAAATGCGTCGGCGAAATTAAACTCTGCATTTATTTAAGTATTTTAATGAGGCACATTTTAATATTTATACAATTTGATTTTCGACAAATTCGATTGCTGAGAAACAAGAGTTGATATTAGCAGAGTGATTTGTCTTTTCGTGAAAGGATACATTGATATGCTTTCAGTTCATTTGATGAAAAATCTCTTTGTTTGAAACTGCTATGGGAAGTTTGTCTCGTCGACTTTTGGATAGCGCACAATTTTATGTTTATTATATGTTTGGAAGTATACTAATTAACTTTTAAGGATAATATATCATAGTAGGAGACATGTGTTACCATAACATCTTATCAAATCGTAAGCAACTGAGGAGACTACTTAAGCGTAATCTGAACGCATCTTGCTAGCTTTTGATTTAAAAGTATTGAATCGTACACCAGGATCCAAGAATCGGCTTTTCCCCTTGTCGTAAAGACCCTTTAAGACGACTTTTAAAAATCATGATTATTATTCAAAAGGTGAAAAATACAGAAGTCTTATAAGTTCTTGGTTGTGCTTTAATCTTTTCATTTCGTTCTTTCACGGCTTCTTTTCCACAGCTTCTATGATAAGTTGCCGCCAAGTGACACTACCACTTATCTTTTCGTTAAAGTAATGATATGCATTATCAGCTTCTGTCCAATTACCGGAACACGCCTTTGGTGGTTCACCTGCCCCTCCTTCTTTAATACCTTTCCAACACCACCAACATCGGTTGAATCCACATATGTTTGGTTTAACATATTCCTTGCATATCGGACATTGGCAAGTTGTCTGATTCACATCCAAAAGCATACCGAATTTCTTGAATCTGATTTTCATTATAACTGCCTGCGAATATGCTTTACAGTTTCTATTTGTTCACTGTCCTTCTAAACACAGTCCTGGACCAGCTCGACGCCATTCTGGTGCACTTATTGACCAATTTAATCTTTTCAAACCACTCCCATTACTTAAATCAACAAAATCGACACCCATGTCGCCACCACGTAGTCGAAGTATTACGTGTAGTGTGGATTCTTTCTGGATATTGTAATGAGCTAAAGTTTGCCCTAAAAGAAACTCATAAAAACTCAATTAAAGAAAAAAAATCGTTTTTGCTGAGCTCATATACTTTATCAACATTACTAAACTTCTCTGTATCTAACACAAACTTATCGAAAGCATCTTTGTCACCTCATATAAAGAGAGCATTTAAATTTTTTGAGAATGCTGCAGGTGTATAAGTCTTACCGTCCTCTAAGTGTAGACCCTTAAAAATAAGTTTTTGTTGCTCTGGAGGGATTCCCTCTTTATCCTGAATTTGGGCTTTCAGATTCTCAATTGTATATGAACATTCACATTCGATTGTAACGGTCTTGCCAGTGAGAGTTTTAATAAATATTTGCATTTTATGCTGTTGGATAGAGTTTTGAGTTATCTAAAGGCACATATAAGATCACAGAATCATTAATTACAGGAGAATTTAATTATTAATTATTATAGACCCATTTACCGTTTCTAGTGTAGGGTGAGAAACAAAAAACATACACAAACACATAAAAGAAATTTAGACAATAAGAAAGAAAGAAAAAAAGCTGTTAGCGCAATCCCTGCGGGATTAAAATGTGAAACACGATGAAACTCCTTTTCTGGAATCCGTCTATCACGGTCAGTGGTGGTCTCTGGAGCTTCTCGGTTACGGCCTGTATTATGATGTAGAGAGTCTCTAAAAACCATCACAGACCGTTACAGAAAAATTAATTAACTAATTAATAATTAATTAACCAATGATCTAATTAATTAATTTCTCTGTAACGATATGTGGGGGC